TGTGTGGGCATGCGTGTGTGAACATTAACAGGATCTCTAAAGCAACAATCAGCGATCAGTCAGAGTGGTCGCTGACATCACGATCTTAAATAAATGACAGCATGGTAAAAGAGCGCTGATCCGAAGCCAGCGGGGCCCAACAGTCGGAGAATCTATAAGCCATAACAAACAATATTTCAAATAAACAGACCCCATGGCCAAGCCTGTCATCTTTCTGGGGCGTCTCCAAAACAGTCCTGTCTGACTTTACTCTCATGCTGTTTTCTGTTTGTTTTTTCGTTGCATCTCCAGCGTGTTTTCTGGCATCGTTGTCCTCTGTCTGATCCCCTGCCTGTAACTGTATACAGATTAACCACCACATTTTCCTTTGACGTGTTTGCATAAGTTTGCATTTTTGCCTTTCATGTTTACATATGTACTGTGTATTTTTAAAAAGCTGGCTTTCTATGGATGTTGTTTTTGAATATAAAAATACAGTAAAAAGTCTATATATACTTTTGCTATACAAATTTTTTTCTGAATCCTTTATAATACTGGATTAATGGACTAATTGGAGACCAGATAGATAGATTGATAGCTAGATGTTTTTGCTCCTGTGGGATATATAAAACTGTGAGCACATCATTTGGGCCAAACTATTAATAAGAAATCATTTTGGTCCCCTCCACCCCACCCCACTCTGAACCCCATTACTTCTTTGGACTCTTGCCCGGTAGTATCCGCATGGCAGCTGGACGCATGCGCAGGAGCAATCTTCAATAATGTCCCATGCCTCTGAACTGCCTGGTGCTCAAACTTGGACGCGGACTGAAAATAATGTTGTTTCCCGCGGGAGCGAGCGTTCCGGTCACCGAAAGCGAGCCTCGGGACTCGTGTTTGAGTTTGTAAAATTGTTTTAAGGACTCTGAATAACTCATCGTCTTGTTTTTGGACTCTTGCTGATAATGGCAAGCAGTAGCTGAGTGTTTTGATCCCGGTCAGTGACAGCCTGCAGACGGCAGGGAGAGCTGTGTGGCGATCACGCAGTACTTGATTATGAGCGCTCGCAAGAAGTGAAGAGAATCTGGGAGCTGATTTCTCGCTGGGACGACAATAGGTTTAACACAGGTATGTTTAAACTAGTTTGTGTTTTCCCCAGACGGCTGTGGCTTTATTATTAGACACTTAAATTGTAGGTCAGGTGGCAGAAGCGAGAAAACTGTCATAGTTTTGTTGAGTTTGATTAATTCCGATTTAAAAACATTTATATGAAAGAAAAACAACAACAATTCAGTAAAATGTATCAGTAACATTACAATGAATTATCCTCCATCAAAGAGTGATAGACTCTGTCCAGTTTTCTATAATATTATTATTAATATAAGTCTTTACCTTACGTTATTGTTGTTGTAAGGCCAGTGCATGCCTGTTAATAACGCTGATGTGTTAAGTATGTGTTCTCCGACTTCATCCCAGCCCCGGAATCACGGCACACCGATAGATTACCTGATATTAAACAAGTGGACAAAAAATAATAATAATAAAGATTTAGTGGTTGCTGTAATTTTTTGCTGAAACATGGCAATAAATGAACAGACAATTACGTCAGATCCTTCCCCGTAAAACTGAATAGTTGTGCAAAATGGTTTTCTTATTAAAAAGAAAAGAATGATAAAATTACAGTCATTATTTTTTGGTGGTTATTGGTCACACATCAGTCTTTAACTGCAGGTCAGTGCGGTCCATCCTTTTTTCCCCTCTCAGTTTGTGGACACGTGAAGGAGTTTAGTCCCCTTGGTGTCCCCTCAGTTCTTAGTCTTCATCCCTCCGCGTGTCCATGGCTTTTTCTCTCCATCTCGCCTCTCATCCCACGTGGAGTTTGTGTTTATATTTGATATGTAGGAAATGGGAATCTTATACCACTGCCGGGCTCTCAGGGCTTGAATGGCCCCTGGCTATTGGCCTGCCTCTAACAACATGACAAGTTACACGCCGACTCAAAATCTGATAGGGGCCTACTGCGCCGTAATCCATACAGATTAGATTTCACATTAAGGGCTCATACTTAAACAACGCGCATTAATGCGCAAGATTTAGAGTGTGGAGAATTTTTGGAAAATTGTAAACTCCTGCACTGGCCTTCTATCTCATTTTACATTACGGCTCGGTCTAAGGATGATAATCCCACCAGAAATGTGAAATATTTAGGATTAAATATTTTAATGCAGCCAAAGGGGATTTTTAGTGGGTGTTGGCGTTTGCTAGTATATTTACATTTTTTTGTTTAAATGTTTTTTTGGTTCTTTGTAATATCGGTTAATTAGAGGCCACCTTAAGGCATTAAATAATCCCGTATATAAACTGTATTTAACACGTCACGTTTCTATTTATTCATTTTATTTTTCCTCTAGTGGGAGAACTCTAAGAGTATCCGTTTCATTATCTGGAAACTGTTTTATGTTGTTTAACCCTGACCCGAAACGGGGAGGGCTGCAAAACACACTGTTTTATCCCTTTTAAAATGACCAGAATAAAGAACAGCATCGCACTCTTACATTTTCCAAATCTTTTTTTGTACTTAAAAAAAAATGAACTCGTATATGCATATCGCATTGTTTATAGAAATGTTGCGTTAGGCCTAAACCTGCCTAGCATAAAATATTTTATTCTGATATGAAGATTTGAGTCTTCATATCAGAATAAAATATTGTATTTTTATTTATTTGCTTATTTTAACTTTTTAGGTTAAAAGCAAATGTAAATATTGACCATTTAAACGTCAGAGGCCTTAGGGTTTTTTTGGGGGGGCGGGGGGGGGGGGAAACAGTTTAAATTTTGCACAGACTAATCCTTAACTGGTAATCTTGGAAACTGCTCGTGTCATTTAAAGATCGATAGCTGCATATAAGCGATTGCTAAGACAGCGAGGTTAAACTCAAATTTAACATATGATTTTTCCCTGCAGCCACTCCGACCAGCAGCAGTCTGCGGTTTGTTCAACATTCTCCTTCCTTCGGCTTTTATAGCGTGAAATTACCGCGGTGTAGCTATTTGGTCCACTTTCTAACCCTCTGCCGTCCCATATGTGTTTCTTATGTCGCTGTCAATAGCCATAGTGAGAAATATAATTCTCTCTTCTGGGACGCCGAAGGAAATGGCAGGCACTATTGATTCCCTGTTTAGTGTCAGGTAACTGCTGGGTGGGTTTTAGGGCCGTGCAGGGCAGCTGGGGCAGATAGACAGCATCATTTAATAAGAATTTGTTCTGACATAAAAAAAAA